TGGTACGTTTTCTGAAAGTCTGCTTCTCTTTGATTTTTTGAAAGCTTTGTTTTTGCGCCCTTGGACGAATTCACTGGTATTTGCAGGGTTTCGTCGCTTTTTCCAGCTTGAGCTATTTCGGCAAAAAACGTGTTTCTGGATTTTCACGCAATTTCACAGTTTTGCCAGCCTTTGTTTTAGGGGGGAGGTGAGGGGTGGGATAATTACGTCCACAACGACTTGAGGCATGGGAAGCTCATAGAGGATTTTGGGCACAGCAAGCTCCGAAGGAAACCTCCCGCACCTTTACAAATTTTTATTTTTTGAATAGCATGTACTGGAACATGTATCAGTCAGACTTGAAAGACCAAGAAAATGCCCAATGATCTTTGTATTTTATGGGCATTCAGACCTTGGAGGATAAACACAGCAAGCTCCCCCAAAAACACCTTGCACACTTCTACAACCTTAAGATAGCAGGAAGGCACAATGACACTTAGCCTAGATTATTCAAAATATTTCAAAATTGCAAGGGCAGAAAGAGCACTCAAGAATGTTTGGCCTACATAATTTGGAAGCTTCCCAAAATTACGGGTATTATTTTGGGGATTCTTATAGTAAGGATTATCGTACTTTAGTATATCGGGGTCTACATGATTGGGTTCCCGTTGTGGGAAGCTTCCATTTCGAGGGAGCTACGGCTTCTGTCTCCCAAATGCCGGTTGCTTCCCGGGAACTATATTCATCTGTATCGAATTGCTCCGGGATATATCAGGATGGTGGAAAAATGGAACTACTAGTTCAGGGTTTGGGGTTTCGGGTCTAAGGGTGGATCCACTTTAGTGGATTTCCTCGTGCAGTTCGACCGAAAAGCATTTCGCCTACACCGAAAATACTCAGATTTCAAAAACGCGTTTTTGGCAAAATTGCTCTGCTGCAAAAGTGCTGTGTTTTGCTTTGCAGTGCTTTCTGCTTCGCTGCCCTGCGCGACTGTGTCGGAAATGCATGTTTTGAAAAAAACACGCTGAGCCCGAAACACTGCGTGGAACAGTGATTTTGTGTTTTGCCATCATGATATTGCGAAAATCCCGGAAAATCCCGACTCCGAACTTTGCCCCTTCTTCAAGTTAGCCCCCTTCCGAAATACTGCGTGTTGTTGCAGTGTTTACTTACTTCTCCAATTACGGGACAGCCAGAATAACGGGTCG